GCCAGTCAGAGTGGCCAAAATGAACAAATCAGGAGACTATAGATGCTGGTGAGGATGTGGAGAAACGGTAACCCTCTTGCCCTGTTGGTGGGAATGCAAACTGGTGCAGCCGCTTGGGAAAACAGTGTGGAGGTTCCTTAAAAAATTAAAAATAGACCTACCCTATGACCCAGCAGTAGCACTGCTAGGAATCTACCCAAGGGATACAGTAGTACTGATGCATAGGGGCACTTGTATCCCAATGTTTATAGCAGCACTCTCAACAATAGCCTAATTGTGGAAAAAGCCTAAATGTCCATCGACTGATGAATGGTTAAAGAAATTGTGGTTTATATACACAATGGAGTACTACATGGCAATGAGAAAGAATGAAATATGGCCCTTTGTAGCAACGTGGATGGAACTGGAGAGTGTTATGCTAAGTGAAATAAGCCATACAGAGAAAGACAGATACCATATGGTTTCACTCTTATGTGGATCCTGAGAAACTTAACAGAAACCCATGGGGGAGGGGAAGGAAAAAAAAAAAAAAGAGGTTAGAGTGGGATAGAGCCAAAGCATAAGAGACTTAAAAACTGAGAATAAACTGAGGGTTGATGGGGGGTGGGAGGGAAGGGAGGGTAGGTGATGGGCATTGAAGAGGGCATCTTTTGGGATGAGCACTGGGTGTTGTATGGAAACCAATTGACAATAAATTTCATATATTAAAAAAATTTTTTCTTATCACTTAAAGCCATTTACATCAGTTGAAGATGCAGCATGGATGTCAATCTAACATAATATTTAATTACCTAAGTTTATTTAAGGAGCTAAAATCCACCTGTTAGGAGGAAATAATGATGTACATACTTTGTTAGTGAGTAGCAAATTCTTTAGGAGGCTTAATAGGACTTTTTCTGGATAAAACAAGGATTAGGATTGATGGAAAATGAGACTGAAGTGCCTAAAAATTTTAATTAGTCTACTTAGTGTAGGGTAAATTCACTGATCTTCTGGTATATACCTACTGTATTGCTTAATGGAATAATTGAAACCTCTAAGGCCCTAAAAATCAGAGGAGTTCTAGAAAGTGGGGAAGAGCGCAAGAATACTTTCTAGTATTAAAGCCGAGGCTACAATGTCTGCTAGTGTTTCCTGGATGGGGGGAGAGGTTGGACTAGAGGATCTCTAGGTATTGTCCATATCTCAGAGAACCACAAGTTGCTGGAAGCCAACAATATTCAGCTGAAATTAAAACCAGTTTCAGTCATTTGCTTTTATTGGTCCAAGGCCTCAGTAAGTCTGCTATTCTTCTTCAGCCAGGGGAGTCAGAGCAAGTTCTTGCAAACACTGCTTCAGGGAAGAAAAGATCCCTGCATTGTGCCTCACAGCTAATTCCTCGGTTGGGCAGTCCTGTCTTCTGCCTAACATTGCTCAGGCCTACAGCCTTCAAAAACAGAACAGATTGTGACTCCTGCCCAGGGGTTCTTCATGTAGCCTTTGATGCCATCTTGGAAAGATGGTGTGGTAGTTGCACAACCTGTTGTTCTGTGAATATATGCGTATGTTCTTGTGGGAACCATGTGTATTTGTGTGTGTATTTGTGTGTGTAAGTGCATGAATCTGAATGTTTGTGCATGTCTGCATATGGACTGATATATGCATGTGTAAATAAGTGGGAGAGTAGGTATAGAGGAGGATGAATGAAGTTGCAAAACATTATAAATGTACAATACATATGATATGCAGGACTGTGAACCAAAAACACAGTGCCACTGAGGTCAGTTTTGTCCCTGGAGGAAGGAAAGGGCAAGCCCATCGTTGAAGGTTACTGCCCCCAACCCTCACATGCCTTTGATCATGCTGACATCATTGGCCCCATCTCCGATGGCCAGTGTCACCACATTCTTGTACCTCTTCACCATCTCTACCACCTGGGCCTTCTGAAGGGGTGTCATCCGGCAGCAGATAACTCCCTTGCACATGCACGCTGTTCGCACCAGCTCCAACTCCAGGTTCCCTTCCAGAGCATAGGCCTGCAGCATCAGAACAAACCCACATTTCAGGTTGCCCAAAAAGGCTCTCAGGACAGGACCTTTCTAGGCTCTTCCCCATCTCCATACTCTCCTGTATTACTTAGGTCAGGCATAGAGGCTCCCAGGTCCTCCATTCCCAAGGGAGACAAGTGCCCAAGTCAGTTCTAGGCATCCTCACAACTGACACAGCCTCCAATTGGAAACCAGTCAGCCCAGTTGACTGGGCTATAAGGCCAAGTGACATTTTTGGAGGACTTGTTTCTGTTTGCTTCCCCCTTGCCCCTAAATGACAGGTCACATCAGTGGTGAAGAATTTGGATAAGGAAGGAATATGCCCTTAGCTTCTCTTTCCTTATTATTCCTGCCTGGAGAAGGATAGGGAAAGGTTTCTATCAGGAAAGGGCATCAAAAGAGAGGGGGGGAAAGGGTGACTCATGAAACAGAGAAGTGGTCTTGAAATTTCCCTGAAGTGGGCTGGACCTAGGAGAAGAGTTCTTTGGGAGAACAGAACAGAGTTGTAGCTCTGTGTTGCCCACCAGACTGCAGCCATTGATGATCAAGCCATAGTTGCCATTGGGCACCTCCTCAGGTATTCTGAGCATTTGGGGCTTCGAGGTGAGGTAAATGTTTACTGGGTCTGATTCCAGTAGAGACTCAGGTTTCATCTTGTCCCTGGCTGACCTGAAAGCCAAGAATACTGGTTAATGTCTGACTGGAAGCCCCAGAGTTAGGAAGGAAAAAGTGTCCCAGAATGAAAGTGGGTAATGTGGATAGAGCCTCTACAAAGCAATAGCCAGAACCTCAGACTTGACTGCCTCCTGAGACCTGCCATTGCCTTAGGTCCTTGACCATCTACACACCACACACCACACTTCTCCAACCTCAGAACTCCAACTCCTTGAGCTGTAATGCTTCTGCACAAAATCATATAAAATATTTTAGGTTTTTTTGTTTTCCCCTTCTCCATTTCTTCTTTGTTCCTTCTGGAGTGTGGGAGTCATACTAAATGAACCGTGGCAGTTCTCCCATCTATCTGTACCTGAGTTCTTGCAGAACAGTCTCATTATTCTTGCCTTCCACGATAAACATCCCATCCATTTCTTCCTCAAATATGTTACAGGCATAGGCAATGTTCACAGCAGTCTCTACAGGGAAGGGTGAACACAGGTCACATTTTGTCTATGACAGGGTCTTTACAAAAGTGTACACATACGTAGGCTCTAACAGTGGGCAACAGAGCCCATTTGTTCATGTTTGCCATGGATGCAGTCAAAGTGTATTTTTCATGAGTCACTGGAGACCATATTCAAACACACAGGAGACTGTTTACCTAGTACAGACTTCTGAATAATTTATCAATAATTAGGATCATTCTGGCTTAGCCTTTCTTTTTTTCTCATTTTTTAAATGTGGAATGCTTCATGAATTTGCCATCCTTGTGCAGGGGCCATGCTAACCTTCTCTGTATCATTCCAATTTTAGCGTATGTGCTGCTGAAGCAAGCACCATTCTGGCTTAGTCTTTCAACAGATCTTTCCCTCATTTCTTAAAACAATTCCAAAGCGTATACACTTCTCCAAATAGTCAGGATGTACATCCCTGTGCCTGTGTTTATGCTAGATTTTATGGGGGACTGGGATGTTTTGGTTGTGGTCTTTTCTTTACATCAAGAAATCTGGAATTTGGAATAAATACATACTAAGGAAAAAAATTTTCCAAAAAATAAATCCTGAACCCTGACTGCAAGTGATATCAAAATTCAGAGGAGAGATTGGAATTGTTATAGAAACTTTCCTGGAAAAAGAGTTTGAGGGATGAGTAAGACTTATTTAGGTGAAGAAAAAAAACATTTCAAATGGGAAAACAACTCAAACAGAGGCTCTAGAATAGGAATTTGATTGTTTGGGACATACTAAAGATGATGGTCACTTCAAGTTGCAGTATATGTAAGTAGCAAGAAATTATCCAGATCTTGAAGGCCAGACAGTAGAGTCTGACTTTACCATGAGGAGTTCCTAAAGGTATCTGATCAGAGGAATAACATATAAAAGTAGTATATTTTAGTGAGATTAAACTGATCGAATGTAGGCTGTACTGAAATTAATAAGGACAAGAGACAGAAATCAGTTCATAAGTTTTTGCAGAAGTTCAGAAGTACAGCAAACAGGGAACAAAGGCTGAATTAAGGTGGTTGCACAGTCAAGGGGATCTTCAGAAGATACGGTGGGACATGGTAAGAGAATGAATCTTTGGGACAACAGAGAGGGTGCAGTCAAAGATAACTCCAAAGTTTTTAGCTTGTGGGTTTCTGGATGACAGGGATCATGTCTGATTGAATCATCTCTGTTTCCTCAATGCTTAACACAGCATCCGGCATAAAGTATGCTCTTAACAAACTATGTGCAAGACTGGGAGTAAAGATGTCCTGTAAGGACTTGGCCTGGGTTATAAGGTAATTATGAAATAAATGGCTAAGACAAAAAGAAAATACAAAATAATATAAAGAAATGTCTAAGGTGGGTAAGGAAGAGGATTGGTCAGGTCAGGACCTCCCCTTTACCTTGCTTATCTCCAGTTAAGACCCACATTTTAATTTGGGCTTTGTTCAGGGTGGCGACTGTCTCAGGTACTCCATCCTGCAGCTTGTCTTCAATGGCTGTGGCCCCTAACAGCTTTGAACAGAGATAGCAGTGAGTGAGGAAAAAGCAGAGCATCACAGCATTTAGCTCTACCCAACAACTCAACTGGCACCTCATCACATTCTTATTAAGTTGTCTCTGTCCTGGCATGAGGATCCAGATAGTATAAAATTCAGCACACTCTGCTTCTCAACAGATTCAGCTTTTCAAACACATAAATCAAATTTAAAAACAGAATATTAGGGATCAAAGAGGGAAAAGACTTGCCCAAGTCATACATGAAGCTGTGTGACACTTCTAAACCATCTGTTTCTCAACACACTTTCCGTTCTCTCTTGCTTCACAGCATACTTCCTGGCTTGCAGGGTTGGCCACAGGGCTGGGCACCGGGACTCAGTCTGAGGAACTGACAGATGGACAAACTACTGGCTGATTTCTGCTAGGCCTCCAGAAGGACAGAGTAGAGGTACTAACCTAACAACTGATTATGGAAGGAGATTTGTAAGCTTTGGGATCTCTGTGTTTTCTCATTTGGTATCAATAATTTCTCTTTTTATAGCAGAGCCAACCTGTATCATTCAGGTAAAAAATACTTTGGGATCACCCTTAACTTCTCTTTCTTTCATATTATAATCTAATCCATTAGCAAATCCTGTTGGCCCTACCTTTTAAAAAATGTACAAAATTCGACCACTCCTCACCACTTCCACTACTTCTACCTAGTCCAAGCTATCATCATCTCTCACCTGTACTATTCCAACTACCTTCTAATTGGTCTCCCTTGGTCTGTGATTGCTCCCCTATAGTATAATCTCAACACAGCAGTCAGAGTGATTATTTTGAAAGCTATCGCATCACTTCATTGGTTGAACTCTTCAATGGCTTTCCATATCTCATTATAAGTCCTTACACTGGCTTATGAGGGCACTCTACTACTTCCCTGTCTCACGTCCTTTTATTCTCTCCTCCTCACTTAAACTGTACCAGCCAGACTAACTGCACCTTGCTGTTCAACTAACAAGTTAGGCCTGCTCCTATTTCAGGGCTTTCACTCATGCCATTCCCTCTGTCTGGAAAGCTAATCCCCCAGAGATCTGCTTGGCTTGCCACCTTCTTCACGTCTCTGCTCAGACTAAACAACCTATTTAAAATAGCAACTATGTCTTGCCCTCTCCAAGACATACATGCATATGCTGATACTCCCTAGCTTTATTTTCTCCAACAGCACTTTCATTATCTGACATACTACATATGTCACTTTTTTGTCTGTTTTGTCTGCCACTACATGCTCAGGGCTTAAAACAATGCCTGACACATAGGAGGCACTTAATAAATATGTTGAATGAATGAATGAATGAATGAATGAATGAATGTTTTGTCTTGATTATTCCATCAATTAGTTGTGGATTATCTAATTTGTGCATTATTCAGATCCTCATTTCTCCCAGATTACTTAGTTTCTGTGAGCAGCTTTGGGATAAGATAAAATTTATAACTAGTGTTTCCCCCCTATTATTTACAGGGGGGAAGATTTAGGACATCCCGAATCAGCTTGGATTCCAGTATCCTGTATCTAGAGAAGCTTGAACCTATTGATCTGCTGGAAGCCACTCTCAGAGATCTTGCTCACTCTGCTGACTGCCACCCCCAATTCTGCCCCCAATATGTCCCTGGCTTCCTCACACCAACCATCAAATCTTTTTCAATCTCTTCATAGACATTTGACATTTTATGTTCCCGATTCTCCAAAGACAGGCAGGCTTCACTGTGCTTCTTGCTCCAGGCCTGGAAGAATGAGTTATCCAGTTCTCGGTAGGCCACCATCAGGGTGCGGAGGCCTTCAACGGCAAAATCCTGGAAGACATGTGTGTGCACTGAATAGGCCTGGACTGGGTTAGGGCTGAGTTTAGAGAGTGGCAGACTGACCCCACTGGCCCATCTGCCTGCAAAATAGGGCTTAATAGTTAGTATCATAGTGCTAGTACCTAGCCTAACCAGAAAACAACTGGTGAGCTTTCTCAGCAAAATGTCCTAAAGACATTTCTTTCTGGGGAAAGAAAGAAAGAAAGAAAGAAAGAAAGAAAGAAAGAAAGAAAGAAAGGAAGGAAGGAAGGAAGGAAGGAAGGAAGGAAGGAAGAAAGAAAGGAAGGAAGGAAGGAAGGAAGGAAGGAAGGAAGGAAAGAAAGGAAGGAAGGAAGGAAGAAAAAGAAAGAAAGAAAGAAAGAAAGAAAGAAAGAAAGGAAGGAAGAAAGAAAGAGAGAAAGAAAGAAAGAGAAAGAAGGAAGGAAGGAAGGAAGGAAAGAAAGAAAGGAAGGAAGGAAGAGAGAGAGAGAGAGAAAGAAAGAAAAAGAAGGAAGGAAGGAAGGAAGAAAGGAAGGAAGGAAGGAAAGAAAGAAAGAAAAGAAAGAACTTCTGAAGGAAGGAAAGAAAGAGAGAAAGAGAGAAAGAAAGAAAGAAAGAAAGAAAGAAAGAAAGAAAGAAAAGAACTTCTGAAATGTAGAAAATTCTTTTACCTGTAGTTAATTTGCTGTGTGACCCTGCGAGAAATGAAGCCTTCTAGATTTATTTGTTGTAAAATTGGGATAATAATTCACTGCTTACAGAGAAGATTATGATGTCTATAATATGAGAATGGAGTAATAAAGTGAAAAGGAGTTGTTATAAAAAAATAATCAAAGGAGTTGCTGTTTTTCACAAGCATACATTCATTTTATTTCCCTGTTTTCCTGCCTTCCTTCAAGCATCCAATGGGTACCTCAAAAGCATACACGCTTGTGTATTTGTCTACAGCTGACTAGCTCAGTTGATTAACTACAGCCAGCAGTGTTAATGAGGCCACTGATGAAATGCTCTCTGGCTGAGTTAGCATCTTTTTGCTCCATGGCCACTGATATATCCTAACTAACCATGGCTAACTATCTTGCAAAGTATACTCTTGGTCATAAGGAGGTGTGGGTGAAGAGTATGGGTAGTTTAGGGCAGAACTCATATCCAACTAAGGATGGGTTAGAAGCAGATTTTATGGGGGTGCTTGGGTGGCGCAGTCGGTTAAGCGTCTGACTTCAGCCAGGTCACGATCTCGCGGTCTGTGAGTTCGAGCCCCGCATCGGGCTCTGGGCTGATGGCTCAGAGCCTGGAGCCTGTTTCCGATTCTGTGTCTCCCTCTCTCTCTGCCCCTCCCCCGTTCATGCTCTGTCTCTCTCTGTCCCAAAAATAAATAAACGTTGGAAAAAAAAATTAAAAAAAAAGAAAAAAAAAAGAAGGAAGAGATATGGCAGAAACTGATCTTGCATAGGATACTGAAGGAGGTCTTATAAGCTTAACAATACACTGACAGATTCTTAATCCATTTGATAACAATATAGCATATTGCTTTAAAGTTCTTATTAACCCCTTACTTGTGTTATTTTCTTTTCTATCATGGTGAACAAACTAGGGCCCTGGGGCCAAATCCTGACTGTCTCTTGTTTTTGTATGACCTGTTTGCAGATTCCTGTATTAGAGCGCCTGGAACTGTGCTTTAGTAGGAGTGAGTTTTTGACTCTTGATTCCTGAATATAAGCTTCACTCTTACAAGTTTATCATCACTGGTTAACAGACTGTAGTGTAGTCAGGTGCCATATGGGTGTCTGTTAAGCTTGGTAGCAGGAAGCAGGTCAAAACATCTGAAACAATTCTATGATCATCTTTGGAGCTGGCCTATGGAAATGCCCTCTGAGAAGATACTCTAATTCGTGTGTTCTGGAAGGTTAAAGGATATGCTTTTCAGACTAGTCCATTTGTGGATGTATACTGTGGTCTCTGGGACACAGTATAGGACATAAGAGCTGTCTTGTGTGGGATACCTCTAGACTTTGTTTAAAACTTGAAATATAATGTATGTATCATAAAATTCACCCCTTTATATAATTCAGTGGTTAAATATATTCATAAAGTTGTACAACCATCACTACTATCGAATTCCAGAACATTTTCATTTCTCGCAAAGGAAACCCTGTACCCATTAGCAGTCATTCCCATTCTCTTTCCCCCTGGCCCTTGGAACCACTAGTCTCCATGCTTTTATAGATTTGCCTGTTCTGGACATCTCATGTAAATAAAATTACACAATATGTGGCCTTTTGTGACTTTGTGACTGGCTTCTTTCACTTAATATAATTTTTTAAAGGTTCATCTGCATGTATCAGTATCATTCTTTTTTGTAACAGTATTTGTTGTTTTGATATACTACATTTTATTTATCCATACATCCATGCCATCCATGATGGACATATGGGTTGTTTCTACTTTTTTCTATTATAGATAATGCTACTGTAAACATATGTGTACAAGTTTTTGGGTGGATGTGTCTATTCATTTCTCTTGGGAATAAACCTCGGAGTGGAATTGCTGGGTGATGCGATAACTCTATGCTTAACTTTTTCAACAACTGCCAGATTGTTTTCTAAAATGGCTGCATCATTTTACGTTCCCATCAGCAATGTATGAAGGTTATAATTTCTCTATATCTTTGTCAGTACTTATTATTATCTGATCATCTAGCTATCCCAGTGGTGTGAAGTAGTATCTTGAGGTTTTTATTTGCATTGCCCTAAAGGCTAATGAAATTGAATATCTTTTCATGTGTTTATTGACTTACCTGTTCTCTGACTTCTGATTATGTGTTAATGTAGGGACAAGACAAAATGGATTAATAAAATAGCATTTTCTCCAATCTATTTTTTCTTTAAAATATTTTTTTTTCTGATCTCTCCCTCTCCCATCCCATACCCTGTCCTATTCCCCCAACCCTTAATATATCTGGGTTTATGAGTAGAAATTCTGGAGAGTATAGATCTGTTTTTTCTTTCTAGTGCCAGAAGGAGCCACTCCCTCTCTAAGATACACCTCAAATCCTAGAAGGTGGAAGTGGGGTGGAGTAGGTAAGTGGTATACTTGGGGATTCTAATCCTATGATAACAGAGGATAGTGACAAACAACAGTCCCCTAAACAGCCCAGGTCCGGTGCTTTCTGCTCCATACCTTCAAAACTGTGTGTTCTCACCATGGTTGGTGAGGTAGGGCCTCCCATATTAGCATGCCCTATTCTGAAGCAAATTCTAGGTCTGACCATGGGACCTCCGAAACCAGGAATTACAGAGAGAACCATTTTGATTGTGGGAAGTGCTCCCACAGATATAATCCTCATTACGCCCAGTCATGCCCCTAAGATCCTGTGCTATCTAAATTCTTGACACAGAAGTTGGCAATGGAGTCTGTAGGAATACCACAGAATGAAGTAGTTTTTATTCTTCCATCAATTAAAGAGACACAGATACTAATATCTTATACTAAGATACTAATGTTATTAAGATACTAATATAAGTAACACACAGACACAAGGACATATATGTGGACACATATCCGCATACAAAGAACCACCCACAGTTTCCTTCCCGGGCAACCTAAACACTTACATCTAAATGTTCCATGGTCACATCTCTGAGGAACCTACAGGATGGATGGAGCAGCTGACAGAGGATGGTGTCTGCACCCTTGCAAAACAACATTACTCGATCTTCAGGTGTCCTCACTAAGGATAAACAAATTAAGAAGAGTAATCACATAGGCCCATTGTTACAAGAACTTGTCTGGGCCACTGAGGGATGGCGTGAGGCTGTTCCCATGACATTTATTTCTGATCCTTTAGGGGGCTAAGCACTCAGTAAGCAGTCACAGAGGATAAATAATGCCGTAAGGGCCAGTGAGGGTGGGAGGAGACCTTATGGAACCAGTTCTTCCATGGGTTCCTGTGTTCCATGGGTTCTTGTGGAAGACTCTGATTCAGAATCACATTTAGCATCTCACATTTAGGTTCTAGACCAAGGTCCATACCTAGTAAGGACCAAGAGTGAAAAATGACCTTCTTCCTCTTCTGTCTGAGGCCCAAACTAATTGAGAGTAAGATAGCATGAATTTCCTTTATATTGTCTGCCCCCATCTCTTATTCCAAGGTCAGGCTTCATGGATTTATTCTCTGTTTTCATCTTGGCTTTGGGGGTTCAGACAAGCCACTATCTAGGAACACTAAAGAAGTATATGGTAACAAGCTCTCAAAGAGAAATTATTTGGGTATGTGAGAAAGTAGGAATGGCTATGTGTTTGTATTTGAGGAACAGTACCTTTAAAAAAAAATTTTTTTTTAACGTTTATTTATTTTTGAGACAGAGAGAGACAGAGCATGAACAGGGGAGGGGCAGAGAGAGAGGGAGACACAGAATCCAAAGCGGGCTCCAGGCTCTGAGCTGTCAGCATAGAGCCCAACGCGGGGCTTGAACTCACGGACCGTGAGATCATGACCTGAGCCGAAGTCGGACGCTTAACCGACTGAGCCACCCAGGCGCCCCTAGGAACAGTACCTTTGAGAAGGCTTATGAGTGGGAGAAAACATCCGTGTGTATATAAAAGAGAAAGTCAACATGTGAATGTGTATGAAAGACAAATAAGGGGACAGGACTGACTAGGAGGGGCACCTACCAACAATAGACATCCTCTTGCGCACATTGCTGAAGTCCAAAATAGCCAGCAGTTGGTAGACTTTGGTCTCACCCATTTCAACTACTGCAATTGTCTCAGAGGTGCGGTAACGGAACACAAAACCAAAGTTCCTGGCAGCAGTGACAAGGGCACCTTCATCTGGGGACTGAGCCTGGTATACCAGCTTACCTGGTAGGAGAGAAGAGGGCAACAAGAGCCCGCAGAGATGTGCAAGTGAAGTCAACCCAGAAGTGACACCAAGGGACTTAAGTAAATATGGAGCCCAGACATCTTTCTTCAAACTTCCTCACAAGTTTGGCCCTAAAAGGCCAGATTGCATGACAGGTTTTTTTTTTTTTTTTTCCTTTCCAATATTTTCAACTTATTTCACAGACCTGAATTGGTATTACAGAGGTACATGGTATATGCAATATACACAAATGAACAAACACAATTACCCTCTTATTTTAGTGGGTAAAGATGGGTCAGGAGCTTGTTAAAATGCAGGTTCCTGGGCCCTATTCAAGCTTACTGAATCCAGAATCACAAAATCTGGGAGGATGACCCAATAAATTGAATTTTTAACAA